TTCCCGGCCGGGGAGGGGCCTGGGTGCTTCTTGCCGCCCCGCAGGGCCTCAGTTTCCCCTGTGCAAAATAAGGGGCTCGGGCAGAATGGGCGGCCGAGGCCTTGGAGCCCGTCTCTCCTGGAGGAAGACAGCAGGGTGGGGGCGTGTCGCACCTGGGTCCTTGCTTGACCCGCCCCGCTTCTCCCCGGGGCTGCTGCTCCCACGGGGCCCTGTGCAAAGGCCCCGCCCCAGACCTGGTCTCATTCCCGCGACAGGCGCTGGCCCAGCAGCTGCCCTCGGCGAACTGCGGGAGCTGCAGGCCCTGCCGGGGTCAGACGGGGCCTCTCCAGTGCCACACAGGGCCGGGTCTTGGCGCGGCTCTCCGCTGTTACCAGCGCGGGAGGGGTCCCTGTGTTTGGGTGGGTCCAGGTGGAGGACAGGCCTGGAGGACAGTGCCCAGGGAGCACTGCGACAGGGAGTACCAGCGCGGGAGGGGTCCCTGTGTTTGGGTGGGTCCGGGTGGAGGACAGGCCTGTGCCCAGGGAGCATTGGGACAGGGAGTACCAGCCCGGGAGGGGTCCCTGTGTTTGGGTGGGTCCAGGCGGAGGACAGGCCTGGAGGACAGTGCCCAGGGAGCACTGGGACAGGGAGTACCAGCCCGGGAGGGGTCCCTGTGTTTGGGTGGGTCCAGGTGGAGGACAGGCCTGTGCCCAGGGAGCACTACGACAGGGAGCAGGATGCACAGCATGCTGGGGCCCCGCGGGGCCCGGGAGGAGGACGGGGTGAGAGGGACAGGGACAGGGCCAGGGCATGCCCAGGAAGCCACCCACCCGCCAGGCTGAGCCTGAGGGTCAGAGCCGGGGGACATGGAGGGGAGCTCAGGGAGGGCCGGGAGAAGACGGGCGGTAGGAGGCCGCCGGGTGGTCACCCCCAAGAACATGCCGGAGGGAGACCTGGGGAGGCTCAGGGTGGGGAGCACGGGGGAGGGTCCTCTGGCACAGCCTGGGGCTCTGGGGAGGAGTCTGGTTTGCCACTGGGAGTGGACACCCTCTCCCAGGACGCCCCAGCAGGCAGCGGTCACCCTCTGCTGTGGGATCCAGTGCCCTCCAGGCGGCTGTGGACCTGCCTGTTCCTGCGGGCCTTGCCTGGGTTCCGGCTGGTTTGGGATGGACCAGGCTGCAGGGTGTGTCCCAGCTGTCCCCACTGTTCCCGGCAGGAGGGCCCTGCCCTGGGGATCAGGCTCCTTCCCGGGCTGGGCCCCTCCCCAGCAAAATGCCACTTGGAGCCCGAGACCCCCAAGACCAGTCTCAGGTACCCAGGACCCCGGAATTTCCTGCCCACTTTCGGGCCCATTCGGGCCTCATCCCTGGCAGCTCTGCTGCTCAGGACCTGCCTGGGAAGGAAGGCCGTCCCCACGGCCCTCACAGTCCCCCTGCCCTCGCTGCCCCGTCCCACGGCACCCTCCAAGGGAGCCGCCCCAGACTTTTCCCAGCGCCCCGCAGGGGTGGGAGGAGAGGGCCCCCCCACACCATGAGTGCAGCCCTGGGCCTGCCCTGCCCTCCCGAGGGGCCCACACGTGCCCCCGACAGATGGGGCCTTCGTAGAGGGAGGTGGGCGGGGGCACTGGCAGAGGACAGTCCCCTGCCCCTCCCCCACGGCGGGCTCTGTGACCGCTGGGTGCGGCTCAGGTCCCTCCCTCGACCCCACTGCACAGAGGGGCTGTGAGGCCTCCAGCGCCAGGGGACAGGTGCAACCCCGCTTTACAGGTGGGAACCGAGGCACTCACCGTGGTGACCTGCCCAGCCTCACTTCTTCCTCTCCAGGGCACTTTGCTACCTTGGGGTGGCCCTGGGGTAGCCCCCCTCACTCCAGTGGGTGCGTGGGGAGTCCCTGGCAGCTGTCCGGGGGCCGCCAGCCCCAGCTGTTTCTGGGGTGTTTTGCAGAGGCTGGAGGACACCATCCTGGGCCCCACGGCCAGCAGAGAAGACCGGGCGCTGACCGTGCGCGGGGAAGGCCAGCAGGCCGCGCCCTCCCCCGTGCCCGCCCGCATCCGTGAGATCGTCACCGGCAGCCTGGCCGAGGAGCCACCCCAAGGTGAAGGGGTGGGGACGGCCGGGGCCCCAGGGAGCCACCCCCGCCTCGGGACTGTCCCGTGGCCGGGCTGGCCCCTCCTGCCTGTGTCTCTCCGTGTGAAGGGAGCAGAGCCACACCCTCGCCGTGGTCCTCTGGGGTGTTGCCTGGACACTGAGGCCACTGACCTGGGGCCCCCGGGGCCACGCGAGCCGGGGCCGCCTTTGCGTCTGGGACACATTTGTGACCGAGTCTCACTTCCTTCGGTATTCGATTTTTCACTAGAGCAAAAATCCTAAAGTTGGACATGCAGGGGACACAGACACGACCCCGCTGACCTTTGTCCCTCACCGGGCCCTGCAGGACCCCAAGAGCTGCCTCTAATTGTCACACTTTTGGGCTGAGGACCTGGCTCCAGGGACGCAGCCCCTCACTACGCCACAGGTGTCAGGCTGCCTGGCCCAGCCTGTGCTCATGGGCCCTGCGCCGGGCCCGGCCCCTTTCTGTCGCGAGGGTCGGCCTCCCGCAGGACCCGCAGCCCACGTGTGTGTGCTGAGGAGCGAGCGGCCCCCTGTGCCACTGTCCCCCAGGGACCTCGTTGCCCTGAAGCAGCAGGTCTCACTGCTTCCCAGGACAGGGCGGGCACCCAGTGTCCGTCACCCCACACACGCTGCTGCGATTGGCCTGGGTCTCGGCCTGGCACAGGTCTGTGCTTGGGGGAGAGACGCCGACAGAGGCAGGGCGGTGGCAGGGTGCCCGTCAGCACGAGAGGAAGGAGAGCCCAGAGCGTGGCATCCACCTCCCCACGTTGGGGTCCCCAGGGCAGAGCTGGGCCCTCCCGGGAGGTGGCTTAGGCCCACGGTGGGAGCCTGGTGGCCAGCCACGGCCCCCACAGAGATGGTGTCCAGGCCTGGTGGTGGGGGGCCCTGGTCTGGCCGCCCAGGCTGACGCGGCTGCGGTGCCTGCAGGGGTGCGGGAGCCGCCAGCCTCCGTGGCCCTCGTGCGGGAGGAGCAGGAGCTGCTGCAGCAGGAGCTGACCCGGCTGGGGGACCTGCTGGCCCAGACTGGCGCCGAGAGGGACGAGCTCGCCAGCAGGTACCACGTGGTCAGTGACCGGGTGAGTGTGTGCTGCTGGCGTGTGGCAGGCAGCAGGGGCAGCCTGGCCCGGGGTGAGGGGTCACCGCCTGTTGGGACTGATGGCCGCACCTGTGGGGCCACGAGCGAGGCCCAGGACCAGGAAGGACTGCGTGTCAGCCACGCACGTCCAGGCCCTGGCACCGGATGGGGAAGCAGAGGCCAGGGGTGGGGGCAGAACAGGACAGGGGCCAGGCCTCTCCCTGCCGCCAGCATGTCCCCTGGGTCTCTGTCCCCAGCTGCTGGGAGCCCTTGGGGTGGCCTGGTCAGTGCTGACCCACTGGTCAGTGCCCAGCCCGGAGCCAGCACCTGGCGGCTGGAGGAGGGAAGCCGGAGGGTCCAGCCCCCCAGACAGAGAAGCGGCCCCGCTTCTGTCCCCAGGCCTCCCCGACAGCCGAGGCTCAGAACTCAGACCCTGGGGGACAGGCCGGGCAGCGGTGGGGCTGCGCCTCTGCCCCTTGTGGCCGCAGCGCCTTCCGGGCATATTCAGTATGAAGTGTGGGGCTGGGGAGGGCCTCCCTCTGTTTAGATGGGGAAACCGAGGCAGAAAGGTGAAGAAACTCGCAAGACCAGAGCCTCTTTCCTGGGCAAGGAGCAGGTGCAGGGTGAGGGGAGCCAGCCCAAGGTGTGGGGGTCCAGGGCTTCGGCCTCCCCTGTTGCAGCCCCCATCCTCGCTGTCTCTGGAGCCCCCATGCTCTCTGTGGCAGGACAGAAGACCCCACTTTCCAGAGAGAAAGCTGAGGCCCAGAGTGAGGCTCACTCAGGCCACATGGCCATTCCTGGGGCCAGACCTGAGCCAGGCCTGGCCGTCCTGCCGTCTGAACAGTGACCAGGGGGCCCTGCCCTCGAGGGGGTCCCCAAAGGCTTCTAGGAGAGGGGCACCCTCGCCCTCGTGGGCCTAGCCCCTTGCTCCCCCATCCCGTTCTGCCATGACCCGAGCCCCACATGGGAAGCACCCGTTTTCATGGTCACCCTCACCCCCAGGAGCCCCCCAGGGCAGGCCTGTGATGTCAGACCCACCCTGACCGCTCCCCCTGCATCCCGCGAGCTGCTCTTCCCGCGAGCCCTCTGCGGCTGGGCCAGGCCTGGAGGGGCGGGGGATCTTCCTAGCAGCGGGTGGGGAGTTGTTGGGAACAGGCCGGTGGGAATAGAAGCCGCAGAAGCCCTGCCACACGTCAGTGAGCCGCGTGAGTCAGATCTGAACTCGGACTCTCAGCACCCGGGCAGGCCAGGTCGGGCGTCAGCACTCGCCAGGTGTGGGTGCCGGGAGGGACTGGGCCTCGCCCCAGGACGGGCGGGGAGGGGTCTTGGAGGCCAGCGTGCCTGACCCTGGCTTCTCCGTCCTGGGCAGCACTCCCAGCCCCCACCCCACCCAGCTCTCTCGGGCCCCCTTCTCCTCCTGCTGGTGGCAGAGGAGCCTGGCGCTGCCACATGTTCCGCCATCCAGCCATCCAGCCGGGTACACGCTCCCCTGGCCCGGGGTTCAGGTCTCGGCCCCATTGATGGTGGCGTGGCCCTGGGCAGGGTTCCTTGGCTCGGCTGTGGGTGCTGGGCCTGGGTCCCCCTTGCCGGACACCCAGGGGCACTGTCTGGGTCGGTGGCCTAGGGCTGCTGGGTACACGCCGCGGTGGGCACAGTCCCGGTCCCGGCTGGACAGGGTGCTGGGAGCAGAGGTGTGAGCATGGGCAGGAGGCCCACACTGGGGGGACCCCACGCCCACTCACTCTCTGGGGGGGCCAAGAGTGCTCCCTTGCCCTGCAGCTGGGCAAGCTGGCAGCTGGGCCCCGGGGCCTCAGTTTACCCATCTGTGAGTGAAGTGTGGGCGTGTTCCAGTGCCCCCCGAGCCCTGCCTCCCACTGGGCCAGCCACACTCAGGCTGCCTCACTCTGCCCGGGACACGATGGAGTCGGGACCCACCTCAGCCCAGTGAGTCCCCTGGCCCTCCCCTCCTCTGCTGGCCACCGACACTGGGCACAGGGGCAGGCGTGGGTGGCGGCCGTCTGGCTCATGTGCGGAGGGGCCTGAGCCTTAGCGGACCCAGCCCTGCCTCTGCTGGGGAGCCCGGGGCTGGGCCTCGTGCCAAGGATGCCCTGCCCTGCCCGGCGGGTTCAGGAGGGGCCAGACCAGGGGCTGACGCTCCTCTCCAGCTGCAGGCCCGGCTGGAGACCACCGAGGCTCGGCTGCGGAGGTCGGAGCTGGAGCACAGCATGGACTTGGAGGAGGCCCTCGGCCGTCTGGAGGCTGCCGAGCAGAGGTGAGGCCAGGTGGGGGCAGTCAGGGCTTCGGGAAGCACAGCCATCGCCCGAGAGGCGGTGACACCACTGTGCCTTGGGCTGCTGGCCGACCCCTCCGGAGGGGTCCAGGTTAAACCTGCCTATGGGAGTTTCAGGTCTCAGCGGCGGGGGAAGGGGTCTGGGAGGGAGGGGCTGGGAGTGGGGACCAACTCGCGGGGGCTTCAGGCAGAGATGGGTCCCACGCTGCTCTCCCACTTGCTGTGGGAGGACCCAGGTTCCCCGTCTCTCAGGGCCAGGGCCCAGGGGACAAACGATAAACGGTCGGCCAGTGAGGGCTCGGCGCAGGTGCCCGACAGCCTGGCTGGGGTTGCTGTCGCTCATCCGCCCCCGTCCCGCAAAGCAGGAGACAGCTGGGGGTGGGGCTGCTCCTGACCAAGGAGTGGGGGGCTCCTGCGGCCCTCCCCAGAGGCGGCATCTCCGCACTCCGGGGTCCGCGTGGAGCGTGAGCAGAGGAGGGAGAGAGAGGTGCAGAGGGAGACAGAGACCCTCGGCCGGTGCGTGCACTGACGTGAGGACCCCGGCGTCAGGCCGGGCCCCAGCCCTGCTCCATTCAGAGTCGGATCCCCCCGCACCCCCACCGCACATCCCCACACCCTAACATGGCGATGGTGGCGTCAGGCCTGCGCCCCACTCTCCGCCCAGGGAAGAGGAGGTTTGCGGCATGCGAGGGGCCTCACCGGCACTGACGCCGCCCTGGGGGGCTCCCCGGCCCTGTCCTCCCGAACTGCCACCGGCACGACCTGAAGCCGCTGCGGCAGGTGCCCAGGCCACTACTGCAGGTGGGGTCAGCCCAGGCCACCGTGCCCACCTGGCCCAGCCAACCCCGGCTG